AGGCTGACGTGGCAGGGGTGCAGTGCATACGACCGTAAAATCAAAAATGTGACGGGTTGAAAGATAACAAGCTCGAACTTCCGTAATAATGAAAAAAGCCTCAGTGGCTTTCCAGTATCAACAACTGAGAGTGAATCTCCTTTTTCTTCTCTCTTCCACTTACCATAACTTGCTCCTGGGAATTTCGAGTTTTGAACCCTGAGAACATCAGTGGGAAGCTAATCAAGCCAGCTGACGCCATGGAAAGGAGAGATTTGATAATCTGGAACTATCCAGCAATTTCCACATGAGCCATACGTGAAGGGTGGAATTTTCAGGAGACTGCAGCACTCGCTTCCCTTGCTACATCCGCATGGATTCGTGCTGGCACTTCAACACGGTTTCAAAACTGTGGGGGTGCAGTGTACTTGGATCATTTTTAGTGTTTCTTTCTCTTTGTTTCTTACAGTACGTGTGTTGCTGTTTGTTACGACCCTGGTAGCTTGCACTTGTCTAAGAGGGAAGGATGGTAGGTCGAAGTGGCCATTTGAAATGAAATGTATACCGGCTGAAAGGTCTTCGGACGGGAATTACGAAACCGTCTTCCATATCTGCTGCGGACCTCCCAGAAAGAAGTTACGGAGCTTTTAGTGGGAAAATACACTACGTATTGGCGGCGTAAGGCTGACACGATCGTGGCAGCATGGCCGAGTGGGTACGTCGTAGGGCTCACGGATGCGCGGTCGAGGGTTTGGATCCTTGATGCGTGTGCTCTTTTTGCATTTTTTCGAAAGTGGTCCCTGTGCACTTCAAAGCTATTTTGCATAACACTTGTCCGTGATAATGTCGTGACGTAATGATTCTGAACTGATGGAGCCACTGCGAACCATTCCATAGAGATCACCTTCTGGGCACTATTGAACTATTCCTGCCCCAGAAACTCAAAAAAATTTTTTCGCTGAAACGTTGCCTATAGATGAAATTCAACGCGCTGATCACGAATATAACATCCGTTTCGACCGCTGGCGTCATTTGGCGCCATTATGCGCCAATTTGGCGCCCACCACTTTTTTCACCTTCTTTTTTTTCTTTTTGCGGCTGCCCCCTTTCCGCTGTCTCTGTACTGTATGTACTCCAGCTCGCCAGGCCTACCAGCACAAAAGTTCCAAAACCCTGTCTTGATGCAGCCGTGAAGAATCAAAACGTGTAGCCCTCCATATCACCTGTTACTGGGTGATTGCTAAAGGTACCCTATCCGGCTCAACGCATACCTGTGTTTATTTGTTTCGGCTCGACGCATACCTATGTTTATTTATTTATTTATTTATTTATTTACTGCACTCTAGGTGCGCTCAAAACTGACAGGGCAGTGAAAGATTGTTAGTAGCAACTCAAACCGTAGTTAAAAAAAGCAAAAATAAAACAAACAAAAAAGACAGCAATTACAGCGAGAAACCTCAGAAAACGCAAATCTGTTTGCATGTGACGCTCAACTAGCTTGCCGTTTCCACGTGGGAAGTCGGTGTACCCGTGTTTCGGAGTCTCGGTAAGCTCCTATGACCCCGAAAGTGGCGACTGGGCATCTTAGCCGACAGATGCAGTGGGCGCCACATCCGGTCATGAGGTGATGCGATGCTCCTGATACTTCTTATATGGTACTCATAACCTTTCTCCGTCCTATAAGCACAAATAAATGCAACATCAAAGCGCACTTCTTGGCTAGTAAGCCTTTCAACTATCAATTTTTTTCATCTGGGTTATTCTTAAGATCTGTCCTTACGCGTTTACCTAGTTCAGTGCTATCGCACCTTTGTTTTCCTAAGTTTTCTCTGTTGCAGCCTCTGTTTAAGTTTGCGGTTTGTTTACATTTTTTCCTCTTACCCAGTATTGCCATGTTTTACTTACTGCATCAGCTATCAGTTGGCTGACCCTGGCGCGTCCGTTGGGCGCAGAATAAATGAATAAATAAATTAAGACAGTCATCACCAGGCACCGGTATGCTCGCATGCGGCTTCACTTTTTTCCTGATGAGCGTCGAAAACATGGTTTCGCGCAGATTTTTAACAAGTTTCTCTTTACCAACCAAGGATCTTTCAAAATAGTCAAGCTTTTTGCGGGTACTCTTTTAATGAAGAGTGATAAAGGAAGGTCCTGTGTTGTGCGGAAGCGGTGAGTTTTTCGGGGGACTAGGTTGATGTGTTTCAGTACCGCACTTATTCTATTTTCTATTCTATTTCTTATATTCAGAAGCCGGTGCATATAGAGCAACAAAATCTTTCACAGATAATGTCCACAGACTAATGTCCCTCGAATGTGCTCCACCGATCAATTCGAGATAAGTATTAGAGTTCAGGAAGCAATTTTGGTTTTCCGAGCAACGTTCAGTTACGGATCCTATAGTGGCTGAAAGACTCTCCACTAAAGAGAAAAGCAAAAAATTATCTTGCAGAACACCGCACGGTAAGGACCTGAAGCACCTCTGGACTAGTTCTCTGGAACCTGCTCTTTTACGCCAGCAAAGCGAGATCCTGCCACCTCTGTGTCATCCCATGCTAGTGTCATCTGACAGTAAAAAAAACGAAGAACACGATGTAGAGAGTGAACTCGTGACAAAAAAACTTTGAGTCTCGGCGGGCGGTTCAACTGGTAAGGCGTCAGAATTGCCACTATGAGAAAACTAAAGCCATGAAAGTGGACAGTCTTAGAGACTGAGGGCCAGACTACTTGTACAGGGAAGGACCCTTACGAACTGGTTGACTGCGGGAACAGTTAAAGGCAGTTGGCACGATAAATCCCCAAAAACGAGTAGGATCAATACGCCTGGCAGGACGGAATTCCGCGACCCTGAGCAGGCGCTGCGTAGCGCCTTTTCCAAAGAAGGTACCCTTATAAGGCCCTATCAAGCTGCAACATACCGACCCGGACGCCCACCGCGCCCGCCCGCCCACAAATGGACGACGTACCTGATGCTCGTATTGCTTCATTTGCGAAGTAAAATATGAAGCGAAGGATTGACATGAAGCGGCTGCGGTGCTGCATGGATATATCGGCATACATGCAGCCGTACCTACTGTAGCGGTTATTGGCAGGGTGCCTACGGGAAACTCGTCCGAAATTGCTTTTTTAAGAACGAAGGCTTTTCTTCGCAGTTTTCGACCGTTTCACTTCGTTTTTTCGCCATTTTCCTTTTATATAGCGCCCTGCTAGCAGTTTAGGCCGAGTACCATATTATCCCGCCAACTGCCTTCAAAGCCACTGTATTGAAACTGGAGCGAATCTCTAAATGACTTCGCAAACGGTACTGAACATTAGGCAAGAAGTCCTAGTCGTTTTCAAGGCGACTGCGACCGCAGCGAAAATACTTTCCTCACAGTGGACAACATCTTCTAGATCTGTAACTGGCGGCCGCAATTTCTTACCTGCTAGCGTTACCCATAGCATGCTTCCAAAGCAGGCGCTAAACAGTACAGTGTAACATGGGGGTTTTTTGTCTATCCTTGCTCACAGAGGTGGAGGTTATCGACAGTGCTCGCAAGAACAAGAAATGGTGGTACATACAAGGGGTGGGGGGAGCAAAAAAGACACTTCGCCCGAGGCACATATCAGTGAAGAAAACGCAGTCAAAAGACAAGGTGTGGGTAAGAGTACCAGGGCGTAAGATACCCAAGATGTTCCTCGATGAGCAGGAGGAGCTCGTCCATCACCTTCATGTACACCAAAATATGAAGCCATCTCCAATCGCAGCCGGACTGGAGAAGGCCTATGGAATTCACGTCACCTCCAAACAGCTGCGAAACTTCTTGTATGGAGTCACCCATGGACAGCTACCTGGAGACCGGCACTCTTGATCTGGAAGACCTCCAACATCGAGCAGCTCCGACAACGTCGCTATGTTCCAGGATATCATCCTCACTGCAGTCGCCAAGGCGCGTGTTGTGGTATGGACCGGAAGTTCCTGGAATGGGAAGACAGATTTCTCTTCGTGGACCCCGGACTGGAAGTGACGATTACTTCGCAACTCGAGGAGAATATCCTGCCTTATGTCGTCGCCTGTACCATCTTGGAAACTTCGTACTGCTACAGGATTGGGTGTCACCACATGGAATCGAAGGGCGTTGGAAAAACTCTCGCCTACTTGGAATGGAAGGGCGTTGAGTACCTGAAGAAGACGGAATATCTAAGTGTGTCACCTGACCTAAACCCCCTCGATTACCGGGTTTGGGCGGATTTTCAACTGTCATTGCTTCCCTAGTCCTTCTTTACAAGTCTCACTCTGACGGAACATGTGAACTCTTGTGAAGCTGGAGCAAGGTCGTCAAGCCATCATGGTAAAACCTGTCAACTCGAGAAGAGGCTGTCTAGATAGGTCGACACGTCGATGGGAAGTAGCAAAAGTGCAAAATGCCCCCTCTCGCCGAAGTGCGCCCTTGCTTAACTTAGGCACCGAATCACGGTCGCGTGGCAGAATCTCTCGATGGCGTTCGTCCAGAAGGCTGTGGCGGAGTTTCATGATCGTGTGCAATGCGTTGTTGAATTTGCTGGTGAAAATTCCAGTCAGAATTTAACTGCTGACTTACATAGCCTTAAAAGTCGAGGAAGAACGATTTTTTTTTGGCCTCACTGTATGGAGCAGAATCTAGCATCCAAGCAAAATATTTAATGTTCAACAAATTTTGTGCAGCTTTCTGATCAGTCGCTACAGAAGTTAACCTCGGTCTCCTTAAGCATTGAGTATCAGCACTTGAACTAAAACCAAATCTTGCTCTCCTATACTGTATTGCGCTGACGTTCTCTATAATTTATTACGAGCTGGCTTTCATCTCTGAGCTTTGGAGTTTCTCATCCTTGTAATGCTGAATTTGTAAAGAGTAAGCCTCTAGTAGGACCTTTCACAACTCCCGCGGAAAAACTCAATCTATATGTACAAAAAAAACAATAAGGTAACGCACTGACATCAATTGATACTTAAAATAAACATGCTATTGGGGAACAATCAAACATGAAAAACGATCAGGAATATTTTAAATGAGATCCGCCATTTCTTTCATAAATTCGTTGTAGGCTTCATCTGTGGTTTTCGCCTGTTGTGTCGCCTCTGTCTGAGGTCTTCGAATTGCCGGTTTCGGTCGAACACCCGTTGGTTTGCGTTTCAGCACAACTGTATCGAACTGCAATAGATGGCATCTTACTTAGTTTATCCCTTTCAAATCAAGTAGTGAATATTGTATAACGCCAACACTTTAACGCCAGTATTATTAACACGATAATGAAGTGGAATGTATTAGGTTGTCCGGAAAGTTCTTAGCGTTTTGGGTGTTTCACTTCAAACGATCGTAACTTTTTTAATACTCATCGGATTTAATCGAAATAGGCACCATTCGAATCAGCACACTTTTGCCAATGTGACAGCAGTCGAGAAATCCCATCAAAGTAAAAAACTGGGTGGTCGAAAATTCACGAAATCCACTAAGGCTTTTTTGCTGGTCCTGTTTGATGAAGTATTTCCCAGCAAGGAAGTTCTGAAAATGTTCCAAAAGGGAATATTCGTGGATGGATACGGCTGGAAGAATTATGGCGGTTGTACGGTAGAACTTCAACCCCAATTCGTTCATGTTATTGGATTAGTGATTTGTGAAAACTGTCGGGCGGGCGTTGTCATGCAAAAGAATCGGACCCTTTCTTTTGATAAGTGTTGGCTGCATCTGACAAAATTTTCGGTACATTTCGTCGATTTCTTCACAGTAGGGTTCTGCTGTGATGGTTTGGCCTGGTGATAAAAAGTTATAGTGGATCACACCAGCCGATGACCACCAAGCCGTGACCAGAATCTTTTTTTCGTAAGGGTTCGGCTTTGAAAATTACCACGGTGGTTCGTCTAAATTCAACCACTGTCTGGACCGTCTCCTGTTATCATACATGACCATTTTTCATCACAGGTGACAATTCGGTCCAAAAACAGGTCGTTTCTGTTGCGCAAAAGCAGTGAAGAAGGAACCTCGAGACGTGCCGATTCCTGCCGGTCACTCCGATTGTGGGGCACCCAATTGTCGAGTTTTTTCACCTTTCCCGATGCGTTCCAGACCATCTGCAACAGTGAATTTGCTAAGGCCTAGCTCTTCTGCTATCTCTCGAACTGTTTGGGATGGGTCAGCCATCCTTTGTTCGAAATCCCTCAAATCCTCTTCAGATATTGCTTTAGGGAATAACAATCGACCGAGAGGTCTGATCTTCAAGCTTGAATCTCATCTTAGAGCCATTGCGCTGCTTTTCTAGCTATATTGTGGCCCTCACACTTCCGTCTTGGTTAATTTGTTGAGCTGTTTCGATTGCGGATTGCCCGAATTTATAGTCGAAGAAAAAAATCGTCCGAAGTGCTCTTTTCACATGCTTGAAAAAATCTTGGAAAAAGGGGGTTTATTAAGGCAATGGTGAAATGGCAATTATACCATCAGATAGCGCAAGAAGTTCTCTACAGATGTGCCGCTTTGTCTTCTCGCATAAGAATATCGACCAGGTTGGCTACTGGAATAGAAGAATGAGTCCTTATAAGCAGCCGTGAATGTTCAAAAATTTAGGTGCACAAAACGCTAAGAACTTTCCGGACAACCTAATAATAAAAACGGATTGAAACTAGCACACCTTAACGGTCTCCTTTCTCAAATTTCTGAGTTGCGGAGCGGCAGAAACAACTGTGGGGGCTTGTGGACCGATCGTGGGCTGTTGTTCACGATCTTTTCGAATTACAGGGAGCAGAGGAGAGTCTACAAGCGCCTCCTGGAAACATCCATTTGAAGTATGTAATATACAGCAGCCATTTCCTGAGCTTCATTGTCTGCTGTCTTCTTTGTGTACTGATAAAATGAAACTCGTCCAGTCGTTTATTTCATAGACGTCGTTTGGGGCTTTGAGCCTTTCTTCAGGTCTACAATCATCTTATTCAAAACCTACAAGAGCATCTAACTTTGCAAACATAGGAAAAAATTCAAAGGGGAAACAATCAACAAGATATGACGCGACTTTCCTACGGGACGGAGGGTCGCCGGTCGGATGGGAGGGAATCCGGAGTATGCTGCAGATGGTTCTGACTGATGGGGGAGAAAAAAGTCATCTCCCTCACCCCGACCGACACTGCCGTCCATAGGAAGTCCGCTAGTCAGTTATCTGATTGATTCTTTCCCCTTTGAATTTCTTGCCTATGTTTGTAAAGTTCGATGTTGGTGTAAGTTTTGAATAAGATGATTGTAGACCTGAAGAAGGGCCTAAAGCCCGAAACGTCGTCTAATTGGAAATAAACACGTTGGATACGCGTTCCATTTTATTCACCGACACAGAAGACAAGTTGAAAAGCCTTAATTTAGTGAAACTGCTCCCATATAAGATTAGTAGGTCTTAATCCACCCTTCAAAATCTCTGTACTGCTGAAAAAAATTGGGCGAAAACAACCTGCATCGTTCTCGGTAGCAGGCCACGGAGGAGGACTGGCAATTGGAGGGGCCCGGGGATGGGGATACCCATAGGATTGAACCTTGGTGGCACTGGACCTGGTGGAGGACCGGGAGCTAAAATAGTAAGAGTACGTTACAGTCAAAGAGGGTCATTTTTGAAGAACTTACGCTGTCGCAAAGGCATGATTGGTGGTGGAAACTTCGGGAACTTGTTGGGGGCATCGAAATCAGGGACTGAAAAGGTAAGGTCCTATCTGAACATACAAAGGGACGTATGTCTGAACGTATAATGAAGAGTAAAAAGATTAGAAAATTCGTGTTTCCCTTACTTATCACAGGTGCCAAGTCGTCATCAGCCGGAATTTGAACGTGGTAGGGGTCATGCTCATTTTCGCCCTCGCCTTCGCTGTCGCTCAAATCCGGAGGAATACCACAAGGAGGTCCAGGTGGGCGTAGTCCTTGCCGTCGAGGCCCGCCACGTGGTAGTTTGAATTCTACCTTCTTCCTTGAAGTGAAGTATTATAATATCAGGAAAGGAGAGAACATCTATCATAAAACTAGCAGTAAACTCAGAATCTGAAATCGCACGTCAAATTAATGTACATAAAGTTGAACGTGAGATCTTAAACGAAAAACGTCATCAAATGAGGTGGTTAGAAACAGCAGACTTACTTAACGGGAGCACTTGGTTGTGGACCCATTATCTGCACTTTACGTAGTTCACCTTCGGCAAGATCTCCCTCGGGAAGTGGAATGACATTGATGTCGGCGTTTCGTGCAAGACGCTCTTGCTCTGAAATTCAGTGTTTCTCACTTCTGTGAAACCTCACTGTGATTCCTCCGATAATTACTATATTATTAGTTCAAAACAAGGACGACGGAGGGAATGTCGGCAAAGTGGAAGAGCATTAGTTAGTTCGACATTACAACTATAGTTAGAATCAGCGGTTTTGAAGAAAAACATAGAATGTGTCCACAAAACTGGTTCCAATCAGGTTTTGAAAAATATTCCTGAATTCGGTAGTTTTAAGACACTTTCATCGGGACATATCTGAGCTTGTTTCGGTCACTAGCCCAATGCATTCACTTCCTTAACTCAGCACTCAACTTTTTTTGAGATGGAGCTTTCTTTTGTCCTTGCGTATTCCTTCAGCACTTAAGGACCTCATAGCTTCTATGAATGCACGTTTTACGTTCAGGCGTTCAGACCCTTTTGCGTTTTGAAGACTGTAGTGCACCGCCATGAAGCAGAGGTGGAGTAGAAGGTTAACGAATTTGTACGTCTCCTTAACTTTTGCCTCGGCGCTCTACTCGAGCTAGATGCTGAAGGAGACGTAAGAAAGAGTGTGGTATTATCGCTCACATGCTACACCGGCAAGTATTTTATAAAGGATAATGGATGAAGGATGATGTCTTCTGCGTTGATCATTCCCTTCCTGGGATGCAGCACGCATTCTACTCCAGTTCAATGTTGTAGTGGCTTACTGAATGCCTATACAATGATTTGCGGGGTCAGCCGATGTACAAACCAGCGTTCTTATCGTCCCAGACGAAACTGATACAAATTTGCCATCCCCAGAATGTAGAAGGCTTAGTTGACCTGGGCGGGAGCTGATCCGGGATTCAAACCTCAGACCGCACGCGTGGTCTTGCCAGTAAACTACTCTGCTCCGAGGTCAAGTGTTTTAAGCTTGACTATATGAGAGAACTTTCCCGTTAACCTAACACAGCAACCCTATTTCCCAGGACAAAGGGTACCCGTACCATAAAGCTCAACGAATAACAAACAATAT